AATTCTATTTGAATTTATTTAATGCCTAAAGGTGGTTAGGCGGCGTGCTGAGTTGAATTTGGAGTGAGAATTTCCGTGGTTCCCGGTAGCTTAGTCGGTAAGAGTGCCCGGCGCGTAACTGGGAGACCCGGGTTCGAATCCCGGCTGGGCGAATCGCAATTGTTTCTCTCTAAATTTTAATTCTATTTGAATTGTCTGTTAAACGACGTTACATCGAAAAAGATGCTGAACTTTTTTGTCTGATTGAAAAACAAAAAAAATAGAGGTGTCTCATCTTGCCCTAGTCTCCCCTATCATATTACTCTGATTCTATATAAGTCTCTTGTTAACATTGCACTTAACCCGATAATTATGGAGATTAGGAAAAAGTTGAAAAAACCTTTGTAGATTCTGGAATTTTCAAACGATAGTTTTCTGGATTTTTTTTTCTACAATCGATAATAAACGAGGTATCTTGATGATAAATGATGATATGAGCGCAATTTTTCCGGGGTTCTAAAAAATGAAAGGGAAAGTTTTGAAATAGTAATTAATGAACCAATCCTCATATAATTAATAAGTATGATTTTAAAAAGAAAATAATATTACTATTACAATCAATAATGAACATTACAACAAACGTAATTTACATTATATACAGGCAATAATTTATCTTTAATCCAATGACAGTGAAAACTACAAATATATATTTGTAGCAAAGCACTTTATCCCTCGTGTGTACATCTCGATTAATTTATTCTTAATTGATTCAATTTCGCAAAGGCAACAAGCAGAACACTCCCTCTTCCAACAAAAAAAAATATAAACAACTTTGCAATAAATAAATTTTTTCGATATCCAATCGAAGGCCAATTGTTTCAACTTTTTGGTTTCTTTTATTGGGAAATCTCGGGGATTCGTTTAGTTTATCAAAACGTTTGTGCAAAAAAGCTGATTTAAGCAAGTAGCAACTCTGTGGGAACCAACAAGAGATGAAACAGAGAATTTAATTTCATGATTTATTACGCGAATATCTCAGATATTAGTGGGTTGAGGAGAAAATGTCAGAAGACCATTTTTGTAAATCATTAAATGCGGACGTCCACATGAAAAGGGACCACTTTGTCGATTCTAGTTTCCGAGATATTCACGTTTTTGTCTCAGCAACTCCCATTTACACTCATGTTAAAGTGTTTTTTTCATCTGCTCCGGCGACGGCATTTTTCACCCTATGAGGATCATTTTGGGTTCAAAATGTGCAGAATGTTATAAATATTATCAGAGTATACATAACTCCATATCGACAAAGTGGTCCCTTTTCATGCGGACGTCCACAAATGTTTTAGGAAAAGTGTCTTCTGACATTTATTGTTAAAACTACTCAGTCCACAATTGATTCTATAATCACTTTTGCGACGGCTTCCGTTACCCCTTAAAGAAAAATGTAAACCCACTATACTAAGAAAAAAAAAAATTCATCAAGATAATTTGTTTTGAAACCATCATCCGGTTGATAATTTTCAAACCGATACGATTTTACCGCGAATATCAATTGCGTCTTTTCGAGATATATTCTGGGAGGAAAAACAAAGCTGCTTTAGAATTCAATTCAATTCGTTCTACCCAATGGTAAGCATTTTTTCTGCTTAAAATTATATTTCAAGGAATCTTTCAGCTTCCCCAGAAAACGAAGCTAATTTGTATTTTCTTACCAGAAATAAATCCCATCAATTTTAGATACCAAAACCCTAGATGATGATAATTTGATAAAAGATTGGAAAAACACAAAGTCTGTTTAATGTGACATATAAAATCGCAATTCAAAGATCATCTTTATTCGAGGGGACAAAATTCGAGTGACTTATTAATCCATCTTCTATGCAAATGAAAATCCCTAGATGGCTGATCATTTTAGGTTAAAAATAATTGAACATTCTCATTCTCACTTGATTGTGAGTATTCTTTCATTTCAATAAAAGAAACGTATCTCAAAAAGAAATGATTGATATTTACCCTAAAATCTTATTGAATCGAAATTTTTTCACCAAAATAATACTTGTTTCAAAAAAAAAAAAACATCTCAATAAAATTAAAATCTTCTATCAGCATAGACTTCAAGATATTTGCGAAATTCAAAAGTCCCGACTCATCTCCTATTTTCCACTAAATCTAAAAAACCTCATTTTTGCTTCGTAATAAGTGAGAAGCTCAGTCTGACAAAGTGATAATAATTCCTAATTCTTCCCCTCACTGATTATTGTTTTCAGATTGACACAGTGAGGTGAGGATGTCCTCGTATTTATGCATATTCGTTTCGAACGTCTCCAACTGTTTCGTCAAGTCTCCAACTTGTTCTCCTAATGTTCGCTCCTCCGTGAATGCCTGCAGCTGAGGGGCACTCTGGCATTCCCTGTAGAAGGCACCCAGATCACTGTTTGTATTTGTTCCAGCGAATGGAGTTTTCTGGAGAATAAGAAATTATTTTAAACAAATATTCTCGCGGTTGAGATCAAAAAGTGCATGGAACTAAATATTTTAATATCTAGTCATTTGACCAAAATAGAAGAGTTGGAGATTCAGTAATGGCAGTAGTTTTACATTTTACCCATTGATTTTCTAAGTCGTACTTCAACTCTGGTATTAATTCTTCATGGGTCTTTTCATGATTTTTCAATTCCATAAATTTCAAATTACCATTTTTTGAAAATAATGAAATTCCCGAAGAAAATGATCGCTGTCATTTTTCCTAGCAATTTATGGCGATAATCAGATCATCAGACATTCACTTCATTGTTTTCAAGTGAATACTCGTGACGATCCGACGAATTTCACTGCTTCTCCATTATCGCCATAATTATCGGTTCTAGAAAAAAATGTCTAAAATCATTGTTATTAGGAATTTTGTAAGCTATAGAAACTGTCTGCAGAGATTTTTTTCGTAGGATCAATACATATCGAGATATTTAAATTAAGTCCTCCAAATCCACGAGAATTCATTCATTCGTTAGAAAAATATCTTTTTTCCTGTCAATCAACTCACACAATAATCAATTTCAGACAAAAATATTAGACCTTTCCTATTGGAAATTATCGTATCTAGGAAAAGGATTACTCAGCATCTCCTAATCTACAAAAAATCATTGCACTTTTCCTAAATTCTGAATTATCTCAATGATTAGGTCAACTTCAGGAGAAAGAGCAGAAGACATTTTTTGTAGTTAGAAAATTTTTCGAAAAAAAATTTCTTCTCAGATGTATTTTTCAATTATCATACTATCGAGATATTTTCATAATACACTTTTTCAAATCCACACATAATTTCCTAACCAGCGAAACATATTCCATTTCTTAACAATTGTAAATTATTCTCGACAACCATCGACTTTCGGCAAAACTTTCAAAAGCCTTTTTTTGTGATTCGCAAACTTTACTACAAAAAATGTCTCTCGACAATTTTTTTTCCAAACCACTCCTTACCAAGATATCACTATGTAAACTACTCCACTATTGAATCACCGTGAAAATTACATTTAATGAAAAATTAAGGATATCCAGGTACTTTGGCCATTGTTTTTCGTTAATTTCTTTTCAACAATTGTAGTTAAACATCAGAGTTCTACAAAATCGTATTCCTGAGGGTTTGAAGTTTTTTCCTCGAAAAACGCAAAAGTTTTTCTCTCTAGGTAAACCTCCCCTTAATATTTAAAATTTCATCAAATTAATTTTTACGCAAAAAAATGCAACTCCGATAGTTTAATAATTTTCAATTATTTATCTATAAGAACGGAATGTTTAAACGACTAATTTTTTGGAAATTGTGACTAAAAAAACGCTACGATTACACGGTACAACAAAATAAGGTCAAGTTTTTTACCAAAGATGAAATTTACACCACTTATAGATTTTTGCACGCTGAATCCAACGGTTTTTGCAAAATTCCTCCAGCACGTCAGGTTTTAGAGAAAAAAATGTTAAAGTTGTGAAATTTGTCAAAAATGAACATTTTCAAAAAATTCTAATTCAATGAATTTTCAACAGAATTGAATGGAAAAAAATAGCAGAGTATAGTTGAAATATTATTTTATCCGTTAGAATAAACCTCTTCCAATTCCGCGGCGTGATTCCGCTGCAAAAAAATCCTAAAATTCATAAATTTGGTTGAATTAACTGTTGATTACGTGAACTCTCGGAAGTTGGCTTCGTATAGATTTCTAACCCCCTGGAATTTATTCAATAAGCACGTGGTTATTTTTTTAAAGGCTCAAGGTTATAAAAATGAACTGTGAGAAGGTTTTTGAGTGGACTTCTCAGTGTGAAGTGATATAGGCCGCCTTTTAAGAGAGAAATTGTGAATCCGGGAACTACCGTTGGGAGGGTGAAACGTGAAATGCGAGGTATTTTCTTTCTATCACCTATTGGAGGATTGCTCACACCCACATTTGCGTCCATTTACTATTTTATTCATCATAAGGTCTTACTGCATAAATACGATGAGGACCCACGAAGCCCCCAGGATGACAGTTCCATGTCCCTCATAGTTTATATCCCCTGGATTGGTTCAGCAGACATGCCGACTTACTTCCCACATTTTCCCTTCTTCTGAACCTAATTTCTATCAACAATATCTATTTTGGGATTTCTATTCATAGTTTGTATGTCTCTAACTTCATTTTTTGTATGTAATTCAATTTATTACTCGAGAAATTACCGTTATATTTTGAAAATAAATTCTCTCATAAAGAAATGAATACTTTTGTATGTATTTCATTAAATGAAGCCTCAGGTATTCACGGTGATCCATCAAAATTCATCAAAATCGCATCAGAGTGATGAATGCTAGTGTACCATCAGGATAGAATTTGAGACTACATCAGGGTGAAGTTTCAAAACTAGCTATAAAGCATAAGTAAAAGTAAAAGTAAGCATCAAAGTAAAGAATAAGAGTAAAGTCAAGGGTAAGAGTTGAGGAAAGGGGTTTTGCATTTAATCACAGAAGAAGAAGAAACGAGTTTTGAACATTGAATATGAAAAATTGTCATCAACAAGTTTTTCGTCGTTTTACATTTTCAGCGTTCTGAAAAGAGATCCTGTAGGATTTGCGTTTGTGCTCCGTATCATCATCGCTCATTAAACTCCAGCAATAATCTCCCAACATATGGAGTATGGACTTTCCTTGATATCGCTTTTCCATTGTTGCGATGCCCTGGTGGAATCGTTCTCCGTGTTCTTCGCTGACGTCGACTAGCTTCTCCGGAAAAAAATCTAGATGGGAATATAAGAAGTAAATTTTCAGAGACATGGTAATCCTCATTTACTAAAAATTCACAAGCATCTGTTGCACAATTCGTCGGTAGTGTGGTAAACGACGGCTTCCAAGGAACTCAGACAAGACTTTCTCCAGTGAGCGCCATGTTTTCAGCTCAATCTGATTCAGGGTTTTCTCGAAATCTTTATCATTTTCAATTAACTTGCGGATTTGTGGGCCAACAAAAACTCCTGCTTTAATTTTGGCGTCACTCAATTTTGGAAAGAGAGTTTTTAAATAGGCAAATGCTGGTCCGTCCTTCTGGAGTCTTTTCATGAAGCTCGAGATGACTCCAAGTTTTATGTGCAAAGGAGGTAAACAGATTTTCTCTGATTCAGTGAGTCGCTCCCCAACAATATTCCGATTACCAGGTATGAATTCATCGCGTCGCGGCCATTCCTTAGTTTTATATTGGTTCTCTCTGTCCCGACTGTCCCAATGGCACAGAAAGCAGCTGTATTTTGTGAATCCCAGTTGCATCCCCATGACAAGTGCGATCATCTTCAGATCAGCACAGATGAGCCACTTGTATTCCCTGTACTGAATCTCATCAAGGAGGAGTTGCACGTTTGCATGGTTCTCTCCCAATGACGTAGAGTACGCAACAGGCACAGAAGGGTAAATATTGCCAATGTGAAGGAGTACAGCCTTTAAATTGGTGCGAGAGAAATCGATGAAGAGGCGCCAAGCCTCTGGCTGATGATCATGCCCCAGACTTTTCATAAGGCCATCCACATTGGAGCAATAGAAAAGCTCTTCCTCTTCCACGAAATACTCACGAAAGGTCTGATCTCGATGACGGAAATGGCTGGTAGTAACCCTAGGTTCTAAGACGTTGAATTCTTTGAGAACCGAACCCATGTACTCCGATCTTCCCTTCGTGAGGTTCAAGTCCCTAGCAAGATCATTCAGCTGCCCTAGGGTCATGAGACCTGGTTTCATTAATACCGATGGTACTTCTTCTATGTAATTTTCGTCTTTGGAAATGTCTTCTGTGTCGCCTGTGTCGGTGCACACAGGTGCTTCTGCAACAACAGGCGTGTCCACCGATGTTGTATCCTTCTTCCCTTGAAATACAGGTACCATCGCCGAAAATGATGGTGGATCCAATGATTTTACGGTTGGATATTGGAGTCTTCTTATTTTTACGAGAATATCCGTATGTGTTTGTCAAGCAAAAATAACAGTCTGTGATGTGATCATACTGTTCTCTCCATATCGCTGGGACATTGAACGCAAGTTTCATCTCCCTGGTTTTCACTGATACCTGTAGCAGGACGCGATAAGAGCAGCAGCACATTGATGGAGTCCAGGGTTTGTCCTGGTTACACATGGATCGGCTGAACACGATCTCATAGGCTTCCTTCACAGCAGGGGTGATATTTCTCCTCTGTGATGTAGAGATGAATTGTGCACAAACGTAACAGAATGAATCGGGTGAGTTTTTACATTTTTACGACATTTCTAAGGAAATTGCGAACTGTTAGAGAAGACAGTTCAATCCTGAAGTTGCTCATGGGTTTCTCCCCGAAATTCTTCTGTTAAATTGGATGGAACGAATATGGAGTGACGACAAGGGTCAAGCGGAAGGGTTGCGATTACAAAGGTTAAACGGGTGAGAAAAGTGAATTCCTAGACGGGTCAAATGGGGAGACGTGCAGGGAGATTCAAACGCAAAAGGCAAGTCAGTCGATGGCTAGGGTCTTGAAATCTTGTAATCAAAGTTTGTAATCTCTCCATTTGCCCCTTCCGCTTACCTCCTACCGTCACTCTAGTCGTCTCTCCACTCGCTCCACTCATCTCTCCCGCTTGACTTTTATGAATTTTTCTGTTCCTTCCCTATCTGGCATCAATTCTGTGGGATAAAGTTATCAAAATACACAACTTGTCAACTAAGGAATTTTTCCAGCCCTCTTTTTATTGTAGTGATGCCGCGAGACGCGAGAGAAACGAGACGAGACGAGACAAACGAGACGAGAGACATAATGAGACGAGAAAATTTATTTCAGAAACTTGATTTACTGTAATTTTTTGCGCAGAAAATTAATGTGACAATAGGAAATAAAGCTAGTGACACACACACGATAAAAAAATTCAGGGATGATTCCAGCCGATGAAAATTCTGGGTCAGGAGGGGAGTCAAGTTGGAAAGTAAATTTGCATGACCAATGAAACAGTCCAGAAACCGCATAAACTATGAGGGACATGGAATTGTCATCCTGGGGTCTTTGGGGATCCTTCGTATAAAAAATAAAATAAAATAGTGCATGTAAGCCAATTTTACGCTGGATGATAGAGAGAAAATGCCTCATATTCAACGTTTCAACCTCCCAATGGTAATTCCACAATGACGATTTATCTTTCAACCGGCGACCAATATCAATCCCAACTGAGAAATTCATTAAAAACCTCCTCACAGTTTATTTCCATAACCGTGAGTCTGCAAAAATAACCACGTGCTTATTGAATAAATTCCAGGGGGTTAGAAATATATACGAAGCTAACTTTCGAGAGTTCACGTAATCAATAGTTAATTCAACCAAATTTATGAATTTTAGGATTTTTTTGCAGTGAAATTACGCCGCGGAATTGGAAGAGGTTTATTCTAACGGATGAAATAATTTTTCAACTATACTCTGCTATTTTTTTCCATTCAATTCTGTCGAAAATTCATTGAATTAGAATTTTTTGAAAAAGTTCATTTTTGACAAATTTCACAACTTTAACATTTTTTTTCTCTAAAATCTGACGTGCTACAGGAATTTTGCAAAAACCGTTGGATTCAGCGTGCAAAAATCTATAAGTGGTGTAAATTTCATCTTCGGTAAACAACTTGACCTTATTTTGTTGTACCGTGTTATTCTTGAATTTTTTCAAATTTTTCCCACACAATTCAATTGACAAAATTGATCATTGAAAATCGCCAAAAGAAAACGGTAAAATCCACTTGGATATCCTTTATTAAGAAGAGACCGCCGGGAAAATTGAAAGTGCTTAGATTTTGTAACCATTGGAAAAAAATGAAAAAAGCTTAAGAAGCATAAGGACGCGGAAAGGGTCAAACCATTGAAAATCATACAAGTGCTTGAATCTCTAATTGAACTAGAATATTTTGCAACCATCAACCTGAGAGGGAGAGCTCTTGGCCCTTTTGTGAAAAGCCTCAAAATAGAGGAAAGGAGCAAACTACGAAGAATTTCAAGATAGCCAAGGGATCAAAAAGGGTCAAAACTTAAAAAATGGTCCAAGTGTCGAAATTCCAAATCTATTGAGCTTTCATCCATATGTATAGTGGAGCAATTTCATATCTAACATCCACATTTGGAGCAATGTATTCATATTTACTGCAAAAATTTGAAAAAATTTATGCCTCGAAGGGTTAGTATATCAGGTATTATTTTCAAAATCAACGCTTGATAGTAATTTGAATATTTTTGTAATATGTTATTTGTGGTGGAATTGATTCTTTTGGTTGGTGCATTTCTCGAACTAATTTTTCTCAGAAATTGTTTAGCGCGTGTTCAGTTTGACGAGGTGCTTCTATTTCAGGTTGTAATATCTCTGATTTGCATTGTGATTCTCATTGACTTGCTTTCTCTTATGCGGTTGATATTGTTCAATTAATTTCTTTATTTTGAAGGTAGTGAAAAGAGATTGAAAAGTCATAAAAATATTACATGTTTTTCAACGATAACTGAAAGAATAATTGTTTTAATGAATCCAATTGTGATTTAACATATTTTTCCCAATGCCATCTTGACCGAGTTCGATCATGAGATTGATTGCATCATCTGTTGTTGAAAAAATTTATTTTGAAACCAATACTCAGGGAAAGGTAAAAAATTTGAACGTCGAGACAATATTGGCTGCCAACCTTGAGGCAATGTTAAATTCAATGAATCATTCAATTCAATTAAAAATACGTCGTCATAGAAATTCCATTCGGTAGCAAATTGATAACTTATTAGCAAAAATATATTGATTATGTTGTGGCGAAAGCAATTTCCCACTTATCATTTGTGTGCAGATGAATCATCAGTAAACTAAATTTTAGCTGAATCGATTAAAAGTTGAGGCATTTTAAGGATTTTTAATGTTTTGACCCGTGTAATGTCCAAAAATAATTTTTGAATTATTTTATTAAGAATTCATCATTGTTGTAAAATCCGTATAATAAAATTGAGAAATTGCCGACATTCCGTCTTCATTTCTCAATTTTACTTCCTCAACATACATTTGCCACCCGCAAAGTTTACGAAATTGACGACAGCACAGCCCATGCTGTTGCTAACTGATCAGCGGAAAAAACAAACTTTGCACCACACAATTTAGTGGGTCATCGCTCAATTCCATAATTGAAATCATAAATTAAATCAGTCGTTTATCATTCCTCGTCCCGAGTGGTTGTCTTAAAGGGGGCTTCCCATCCTTTAAGAGAAATTCAAATTCCTTAGTGATCGCGAAATTATTGAACTATTGGTGGAAAATGTTCCTAAAATCGATCTACCTTCGCGTTTCTTTCCATGTAGTAATTAGCTTAAGTCGATACTATGCGTGGTAACCTATCGAATTAATAGTAGATAGCTATCGGGCGCGTTTGCGTAGAGATACTGTATCCTTAAATTGAGAACAGTGTCTTTTCTTGAATATAAGGGACCTTCAATATTTTATTTCGCGTTTCATAGCGGCCTAATTATTTTAAAACTCTTCAATTCTACGAAAACTTTTATTACTTATCTAAGAGTGGAAGAATGTAGGCTAATTGAAAGTAGCGCCATATGGTTTCGTTGCTGGTGATGAAATCATTAGTTTACCGAAGAATTCATATATTAGTTACAGTGTTGAATATTTTTCAATATAATTGTAAAATCTACATCCATTATTAGAAAGCGAATAATCACTGTAAAATCTTTCATAATAATTATGTTAAAATTTCGTCCATCAAATTTATGTTCCGTTAAAATTGCAACCTTCTGAATCTAAAAACGTCTAAACAACTAAATATCAAATGTGTAAAAATTTTGAAACCGAGTAAATAAATAGAATAAATCAAATTAATCTGTCAATTCTGAACAGAAACTTGAACTAATTTTCACGCCTGAAAAGGACTGCATATCGTCGTCCTTATAATAAAAACTAAAAGAGATGAAAGACAATCCTTCAGATTATTCTTTTATTGATAATTCTTGAATTATTTTTCGAGAGCATTTAATTTAAAATATAAAAAGTTGTCCTGCGATACTCAACATCTCTGAACATAACACCTGTTTCAACCCCTTGCGGGACTTGAAACTTCTCGGAGTTTCCTCTTTTTCTACTTTTTTGATGACCTTAATAAATATCGAAAACTCTTAGCTTCATTGCCACAAAATGCAGGGACTTTCAAATTTCACAGGTCTTCCTTCAGAAAATTAGTCAACCTCGAAGTAAAAGTGCAAAATGATAGGAATTAGTTCAAACAGCTCAAAAAGTGCCCCCAAAAAAAAAAGAAACAAATTAAAGTGGCAAATCTGAGCATAATAGCGTAATTACCAAGTCTACCATAATGAAATCGTCATTGGCACTGGTGATGGAGCAGCTGCTCCGTCTGGATCCATTCCTGGAGTTGCATTTCGACGTGACATTGTCAAAGACAGTTTTCTCATTTCCGTTATGACTATCAGAGGTTATTGCACCGATGCTGCTGGCAGAAGGAGCTAAAACAGGTGGGGATGCTGTGGTGGCACAAGTAGGTACACTTGCTGTCTCGGCTGGTGGTCCTGGTGGTGGTGATGTTTGTCTAGGTGTCAGGAGTGAACTGAATGGGACATCGGGTATCACCAGGTCCTCTTCGTTCACTACTACTTGCTTATTTATCACAAATGCTCCCACTTTTATTGTATCACTCAATGATTTTGATATTTCTTCACTGAAAAGAGAGACGACAATTTACGAGATTCTTTTTTGTGAATATGTTGGACAGGGGAGGGTTTATAAAACAATACCAATTTTTTTTTCCCTCGATTAAAAATTTTCTACAAGAAACTTACTATATTTCTGTATAAAATCCAGGGATAGCCATATTCACGAATCATAATTGCCCTTAAATTTTGAAACCGTCAATTAGTTAACATCACTCGTAAACTTTTAATTATTCAAGTAATCATGAATTTAAATATTCAAATTGTAACTATTTTATTAATAATCAATAATTTAGGTAGGAAGATTGCCGATTATTTGGTTAATCCATAATCCCTTTTAATAAATTAGAAATATTCACTTAATGGAAAATTTACAGTTCTATATTATCAAATATTTACTTCATCATCAAAAATATTATATTATTTTTAAATTTTGATAAGTGTACTTGAACATTTATCAATGCAAGTCGCAAATCCTTTTTATATTGAAGAAATATAATATTGAAGGCCATCCCTGGTAAGAACATTCACGAAAAAGATAATTCAGCAACTGATAACCAATTGATGAAGAAAAATAATTCCTTGAGTTATTACATATATTGCAGGAACCGTTAAGGTTAGAAAAAAATATCAACAGACTTTTTTTTTGTAGGCCTGGACAATTCTACAAAAAGATCTTTTAACATTTTTTCGTAACACCCTTCATTACCGAGATAATTCAACAATTAGAAATCACATCATGTTCACAGAAAGAGACATAATGTTCGCAGTATTCTGTATAAATTTTAAAATAACCGTTGGATTTATACCGAAAAAATTGTCTCGTGACATGTTTCTCTCAATATATTAATCGAAATATAATGCTGATTCATTGATTGCTGATTTTATTTACCTTTGTTGATATCTAGCATGCCTAGGACTTAAATCTGAATGAAAATGATCACTCTTGAGCATAATGGAGTCTCTACTGGTGTGAGTCGGTGATATCGTCATTTTGGTTCTGTATGACACTGATAAATGTATCGTACCAACTGGTGTACATAATTGGCCTACTCTAACGTGTTTATAATTATCTCCTGCAAACAAAAACAACATTATTTACTTCTTAATTCCAGAGATTTAATATCAGCTGCCTAATTACTAATTGAAATATTATCAGTCATTCTGTATTATTCTATCCTTATATAAGTAAGACAACAAGTTATTTAAACTCAGTATTAGAATAAGTGAATTCCCTGAATGTCGTTGAATCTAATAGAGATATCAAAATGTCGTGAGAATAAATTTGCTATTTACCATTAGATTTGACGATAGGGAGTGAAAACTGATCTCAAAATAAAACAGTGAAAAATTGAAAGAATAAAACAAAATAAATTCAGTTTTTAGTAAATATCTTCGAATCTAAAGGAGATAGAAGAATTTTTGTAAATACCTTCCTTGCAGATTGAAGTGATAGCTCAGAAAATGCCTCCACAGAAAATTCTTTATCTCTATTAGATATTAAGGTATTTCTCTAATCAGATATCCAAGGGAAACATCAAACAATTGAAAGAATGTGAGAAACCAATTCAGTGTTTATTGAATTTTCTTGAATCTGAGAAACATATGGAGATATTCATAAGGACTGTTTTGCAGCTGCGACGTTTGGGATTTAAGAGGTTTCTGTGTTTGACCCTCTATAACCCGTGGGTCGCCAAGTTGACCCGTTAAGGGGAGACTACTTTGAGTTTTTAAAGTGGCAGGCTATTGGAATTAAATTTTTCACACATTGAAGATGGATTATATATGTCGAAAAATAAGTAATTAGCGCAAAAAAATTGATTGTCTAGTGTTCGTTTGCCCCGCAGACGCTTAAAATGTTAAAAATACAAGTTTTTTTTTTCAAAATTTCAGAAAAAATGTGTGCGCTAACAATTATGGATCATTTTTGTGAAACTCAACTCCCACACAGCTAATTTCGTTTTTTTTAAGAAAAAATTGCACCATTCATGTAAAATAGCCCGAAAAATGTTTTTGAAAGAATCGGGAATATATTTTTAATATTTTTAGGATAATTTTTCTGCCTATTTTACATGAATGACACAATTTTTTTTATTAAACAAGACGAAATTAGCTGTATAGGAGTCGAATTTCAAAAAACTAATTCGTAACTGTTATTGCACACTTTTTTTTTTGAAAAATTTTGAAAAAAAAACTGCAGCTCAAAAATTGGAGGCCCTGGACTATGTTCAACATTTTAAGCGTCTGTGGGGCAAACGAACAATAAGCAATTAATTTTTTTGAAATAATTATTCGTATTTAGACATATATAATCGATCTTCAATGCATGAGAAAGTTCACTCCAATAGTTCGCAATTTTTAAAACTCATAGTAGTCTCCCCTTAAGGGGTAACAGAATGCAATTAATTTTCCAAATTTTTGAACAAATTTCCTGACGAAAGTTATCGACATTTTTACAAATCGAAGCATATTAATCTCCAAGAGGTGATCATGAAGATCAATGTACACTGGGTTCGAAAAATATTAATAACTTTGTGCAGGAAATTTATTTGAAAATTTCGAGGAAACGGTGGCCTTCTGTTACCCCTTAAGGGATCATTCTGGTTTAAAATTTTTCAAAAATCGATTTTTTTTTTCATTTTCGGAAAGGATACACATTCAAAAGTATTGTGTAAATTTTTTAGAATATTTGGAGATGTCTAACTATGACTAACTCGGACATTTTCTTGACCGCGGGACGCAACTGACCTGCAGCCCTCTTACTACCTGTGCGCGCTCGGCCGACCCGTCTCTTGTCTAATCCGCTTTCTGTTTCCATTCATTCAAACAGCTGCTCAGTTCGGTTTTCGTTAGATTTTTGAGAAGCGGCATCAGTTTTCTCTCCGAGGTTGAACAAGCAACATCAGTACGCACACTATTTTTCATTATGGACCAAAAATCTACAAAATACGGAAAATCCCGTCCTGGTAGACCAGGTAAAAAACGCAAGTTTCAAGGAAACCAGCACAGTGATAAACGCGGAAGTCGTGAAAGAAGTAAGTCGGCTGAAAAATTAAAAAAATCGAAAGATGCGACTTTCGATGTACATCGAACAGCAGCTCCCAGTCTTCCAAAGAGGCCAGAACTGAGCAAAAGAAGGCTAGACTGGAAGAAAATGAAAATTTTGAGCAGGCTGAAGGCATTTTGTACGGTGCAGGCATTGCAGATTAAGTGAAGGTAAGATTTTTTCATGATTTTTCACTAAAAAAATCTTTAAACGCGTTTTTCTCAAAACTACATTTTTCCGGTCGGCGGCGGTGATTTCTCCGTAACCACTGAACCGATTCTCTTGAAATTTTAACCACATATTCTCCACATAAATAGCTCTCCAGTAAAGCAGAATTATATTAAAATTTTAATTTTTACTATTTTTTTTTCACGCGAAAAACGCAAAAAAAACGCGTTTTTCAGGTTTTTTTTTTACATGTCCGCCATTTTGTTAATTATTAATAAATAATTATAATTCTGCTTTGCAAGAGAGCTACACTCATACTGAATCTAAATATTTTTGGTTTTTTCATTTCAGATGATCCATCATCGAGATATCAACGCCGCCAGTGACATGTCAATTCCGCGAGACGTTACAATTGGCGGCCATTTTCATAAATATAAAGAGTTAAATATTAGTTGAAAAATTTTTTTTTGTGTTTTTTAAGATCATATTTACTGGACTTATTTAATAAATTATTACTATTTCTATAAATAAAAGCCTAAATAAATTTATTTAATTGTCCTTTTTTTTAAGTGTCTAAACCAGAATGATCCCTTAAGCTGATTAGCGGTACGACTTGGCTCACGGGGGAACTAATCGGGTTGAGTCAATCGAAAAGATTCAATTTCTATGATAAGAATATAATTAACTACTAAAACTACTGTTACACTACAGAATAGTTAAATGGATTTGGTATTCACGGATCTAGACTTTAGGGGAAGACCAACGTTCGATCGTTTTGGCCCTCTATCGTATTTTATCGTACCGATGGGTCTCAGAGACGCTTCAGCCCCTAAAATGCTTAGATGAGCGTTCTCACGGTTTTACTGTCATTGACAATATCCCGAGATAATTGACAATACCCTGAGATAGTTAAACGACTCTCTATCGGAAGTCGGACTCCTGTAGCACTCGTGAGAATGCTTACATTGCTGATGATGCCCCGTTTTAAAATTTCCTTTAGGGCCCGGCTATATTATCTGCCAAACGTTACCTAGGTTGCCTTTTTTGTTTGATTTTTATCTCGAAATTTCAACTCGGCACTCCGCCACTCAGAGATCCCCAAAAATTAAGAATTTGGATTGAAAAAAAAGTTTAAAAAATTCTGAACATTTTGAAAGAACGTTTCAAATCAATAGTGAGGAATGAGTTCAATAGAGGAGATGAATAATGTATAATTACCGTGGCAAATGACGGCCGGTCAGTCGCCATCATGGGGGGAAGAAAGACGAAATAATAAATCAGTTGGCTCTTTGAAAAATTTTCTAATATTTTTAAGAATTTTTTGATTACACTTTTACGATGAACTAATAATCACTCACACCAATCTCTTCAATGGAATATTGTACTGTCCATAAACTGTCACTTTGGTCGGGGGCGAAAAAAAGGAAGAAAGAACGATTTTCCGGTTTTCAATTCCTGACAAAAGTGACAGCTGATCGCCAGAACAATTATCAATGGAGGAGATTGGCGTAAGTAATTGATAATTCATCGGAAAGTGCGATAGAAAAACTCTTAAAAATATTATAAATTTTTTCAAAGAGCAATCGCCTTAATGCGGTGTACCAAGGATTTATTATTTTGTCTTTCGTCTCCCATGCAAGGATAGCCATATTCATAAATCATAATTACCGTTAAATTTTGAAGCTGTCATTTAGTTAACATCACTCTTAAATTTTGAATCATTTAAGTAATCCTCAATTGAAATATTCAAATTCTGAACTATTTTATTGATCAGTCATTCAGGTAGAAAGATTGCCGATTATTTGGTCAATTAGTAATCCCTTTTAAGAAATTACAATTATTTACTTAATGGAAAATTCACAGGCCCTTATTATCAAATATTTAATTCACCATCAATCGCAAATTTAAGTTATCAATATCATACTTGCCACGGTAATTATACATTATGCATATCTCCTCTATTGAAAACATTCCTTAATATTAATTAAAAATGCTCGGTCAAAATATTCAGAAATTTTTTTACTTTTTTGTCATTCTCAATTCAGAATTTTTGGGTCTCCCTGAGTGGCGGGGCATGGAGTTTAAATTTCGAGATAAAAATCGAACAAAAAATCAATTTGGATAACTTTCGGCAGATAAGGGAATTGAGCCTTAAGCTGAAAAATCTCTCTATATTATACAAATCCAAATCGACTTCTGGTGATAAAAAGTTAGTACTCGAAATTAAGACTCCAAAATTAAGGGTCACGAGGGTCACATTAAGGGTCGTGAGGGTCAAATTACGGGTCACAGGTGTCAGATTAAGGATTATAAGGATCAGAATAAGGGTCACGAGGATCATATTAAGGGTCGTGAGGGTCAGATTAAGGATTACAAGGGTCAGAATCAGCCTTATGTGGGTCATATGGGAGTTGGCGAACGGAGCGAGCAGGGGCCATAGTCCCCTGGTATTAAAATAATAATCTGACGTGTGTCAGGCGCCACATGTCACATACACTGAGAAAAAACTTATTTTTGCTAAATATTCAGTTAGCTGAGAGAAGTATTCATTTTTTCAAAAGCGTATTTCTAATAAGGCGAGTCTGATTAGGTTTCAATTATAACAATCACGTTGCTCTAGAGGATAACTATCTTGACTATGACTATATGACCTTGGATGAACTCTTGCAATGATTATTCATTTTTCCTAAATTGCTTATATTCTAGAGGGAAGAATTTCGATTAATTTTTTGATGTTGATAATTACTGAGGAAGTTCACTCAAGGTCATAACTAACATGATCATCTTCTAGACCAATATAATTGTCATAATTGAAACCTCATGAGGATTGCCCGGGAATGACTAGACTGGAGAAATACGGCATTGGAGAAATAAAGACTTCTCTCAACTAAATGGATACTTGGCAAAAAAAAATTTCCTCTCAGTGCAGCTCTCACTTTTCTCTGCAAAAATGATCTTCACAAAATTTTTGCTGTGTCCTTATGATTCAAAGATATTCATCAGAAAATGATCTGGAAGTAGAAATCAATGATTTCGTCTTCGTGATGTTGAGGATGTTCATGCTTTTTCCCGAAATGTGATTGTTTCGTATTTGCAGATAATTCGGTAATTCTTTCAACTGATGGAGGAACATATGGAACTAACATTGCATTTGTATTTATATTTACCTAACGTATGTAACTGAGGTTCCCCCATATAAATTCTGTAGCAAATAACGTAAGAATCAGGTCCTTGTCGTCTACTTAGTTTATAAGCCGGTGTGACCCTCGAAACAGACACCAAAGACTTTAATAAAATTCCCATTCTATTGTATACAGTGTAGGTGACTCTGATGGTGGGGTCGCTTTGTTCAGGCAAAACTCCAAGACTCCAGGTCTCTAGGACCATTGTGTCACCTTCCACTGTCCTCAGGGAGATTTCAATGCAGAGTGGAATTGAGGAATTCACTATTTCTCCACAGAGAACTCTTTTGGCTTCTGCTAGGACTTCTGGGAGATCAGGAACCGCCAGATTGAACTGGAAACATCAATATCAAAGTTTTGATGACAGATTCAAGGAAGAAACTTCTCAAGATTTAATGGATTTCAGAAAGAATAAAGTCGCAAATTTGTTCATTAATTGTTCAACTAGATCAATTTGTACTATTTTATTTTATTTCAATTTCCGTCTTCACAATTAGATTAATTTAATTTTATCCATTCTTATTCAACATTGAATGATATATTATGATATAGTATATTATGTCATCAGGCGATAAAAGTATTATCTGGTGAATGTGGCTTTATAATCACATTCGCCAGATAATACTTTTATCGCCGTGTGACATACGCTATTTTATGTAATTGGGCCCGAAAACCGCGATCTAACCGAGCAAAGCGAGGTTAGAATCGCGGTTTATCGGCCCTAATGATATAAAATTCATTTTTCAATGTGACGTTTGAGATTTTTTCGATGGGTTAATAAATAACCCAACAACCAACGATGAAAAATCCTCGGGTCACCAAGTTGACCCTCTGTTTCGGCTAACTACTCCGGTCGAGCTCACGGGGAGTTCGCTCACTTTAAGGATGTTAAGGCCCGTCTTCCACATCTGGTTACTTGTGAATTGCCTTTTACCCCCCCACGTTTTGCGGCCAATTGTGAAGCTCCATATCAAAATCTTCCCTGTCGGTAACAGCGGAAGTATCACCAAATGATAATTTCCCAGGGCCCCATAGGCTCCAGCCGTTTCAGGGTGCATAATTGGTGGGCCCCAATATTTATAAAATATAAACATCATATGTACATGTAATAGTAACTGAATCAGTGGAAAGACGAACGAAAAAATGTCGTAAAAAAAAAGCGAATTTACTGAAAAATTGAACTTTCAGAGAGAGGGGCGGGGGAGGAGGAGAAAATGGCCCTTGTGGCTAAAATGGAACTACCATTTTTTTCGGGGGGGTGAGGGTAAAATAAACCCCCACTTTTTTTCCCAACAATATTTTTGATGGTACCGCGAAGAGGGAGGGGGGG